ATTTGCTATCAAGAGAAATTTTCTCATGAAGTTTTTCTCTATGGGAAGTAAACATGTGTATTTCCGCCGGCGCGCGGCGTCGATCGCATAATTATACTCTTTTTCGCGAAGAAGGGTGGATATTTTCAAGTGTTTCGATCTCACGGTGATATTACATATTGCGTTGCATTTACATCAAATTGGGCAACTTGCATTAAAATTGAAAATAGTAAAATAAAGCTATAGCATAACTAAATTGGTCAAATAAAAAAAGAAATAAATAAATCAATTCTTTTGCATTGTCAAAATCTAGACACTTTCGAAAAGATAACCTGCATTAATTATTTGTATTTTTTTTTGAATACCTACTATATTCGTACTTTTCTATCATTTATTGTGCGAACAACAAATTATATATTACAATAATCATATATTTGCTATTGTGTAACAAAAATTTTTAAGCGACGTTCACAGATTAAAATAATTACGATGAACGACAAGAAAAATCCATACAAAATAAAATTATTAATAGGCAAAAGTAAAAAATGCTTTCTTAAATAAATGTGCGTATTCGAAAGATTATTTATGAATCTTATATTCGTCAAAAATTATGGGTTAGATATCTGGTCATTATTTTGTATGTATAATGTTCAATGATTTATAGCTCCTCTATACGTAAGGGGAAAATTGGGTAAAACCGGGTAGGCGGGTCAAACCGGGTACCCCTGTTTTTTCGTAATAAATGCTGTTATCTATGGCTAAATTGTGTTATTAGTTGTAGATTGGCATCATCATTATTTTAAAACAAACCGTGTCCCTATGCATACGATATTTCTTTTTTAATAGAAGTTCAAAGTTTTTAGCCCAAAAAAGTTCGATATCGAGGCAAGAATCGAGTCGTCGTGCACTTTTTCTATATAGAGCATTTATTTCGGTAAGTGCAGTATTGCATTCTGTACATATTAGAGAGTATATCATATTAATTTTGATCGGCACTTTGTATGCCAGAATATACAACTGCCGTATTTGTTACTTTTTTTGTGTTGGGGCAAAACCGGGTACTTACACATTTCATATAATAAAAAGAGGAAGAAGTGTTATCCTGACTTTGTGTCTCCACAAAAAGTAGTTGAAAACGAAAACTAATGCTCAGAAAAATAAATCACTAAAAAAAAAGCTTTTTGAGACTCCTAAAGAAAAAAAACTAAATAAGGAAGTCCTGCAGCAATGTTGAACAAGAGGATATCTTTATTTGTGTTTTTTGTCAATAGAATACATCTTTATATTGTATTTTGATTAAAATAAATCTAGATTTTGTAATTACACAATGTTTTGCATATTTTCATATTGGTACCCGGTTTGACCCTACCGGTAAGACAAAACCAGGTACCTTGATTTCACAAAATCTTGTTATTCTTGGTATCCCAAATTTTTTTTTTTACTTTCAGATTTTTTGTAGAAAGACAAATCTAAAAAGGTACCCGGTTTTACCCTACTTTCCCCTATATAGAAGCTAATATTGTTTGTGTTATAAAAAGATAACAAAAGAAACTAATTGTAAAGTTTTTGAGCACCTCGTAGTTATTGGCAGAGTGTTCACAGAACCCCTAATGGGCTTTGCAACAGTGACAATTTGTCGGAATTTGTTTAACACAAAGCATATTTCAAACATTTAAAGAAGATATCTCGGTAAATATGCATAAATGCATATGCTATGCTTGCACGTGGATGCAGTGTGTCCCTCCCCCTTCACCCCCCTCTACGGGGAGTCTCCACTCCGGGGGGTATCCATGTATACACTTTCCCATCCACACAACAACTGTGGGGTGGATCTCGCTTCGCATTGTAAAGTATATGTGGACACAGTGGGTTCCGCCTCCCCTACAGAAGGGCTCCACTTCCGGAAGATATAACCTAACCCAAACCTATTTCTGATTTAAAACTAAAATTTGGTTTGAATTACGTTATACAACCCATCTATGACCTTGTACCTATCTCGTAAATGTAAACAAAAACGTTTCCTACGTCCTCTGCAAGAAATAAAATGTACACAAATATCACTGTTCCTAATTTTCTTATATAATACTTCAAAGAAAGCATTAAAATTTTGAAATTTCAATTTATTATATCTTCTAAATGAATGCTTTCCCCCACTTTTTTCTTGCGGAGATTTACTCAGAAGAAACTCCCCTACAACATATTTAAGTGGCGATAAAATCGGTGATGTGTAACCTTTTATGCATATTTACCGATATCTCTTATTGCAGTTGGTTGGCGGATCAGTTTTGAACTGTATATTTCTTTATTCTACGAAATAATAATATATCGAAATCAATGGACTAATATTATATAGTCGATATAGTGAAAATTCAATATATTATATGGATATATAAAATGGATAAAAAATATAATAAAGTTGCTCAAATTAATACAAATTCAATGAAAATAAATAATTATTTATCTTTTGTTAGATTAAACTTTACCCTAATGTGATATACATAATGATACATCAAATGCTATTTAGGGGAGACCGGGGCTGGTAGGCCAATGATTGATTTTTAATGAAATACATGAAAGAAACATCATTGTAGCGATTATTGTCGTCGATACGACGTATATTTGACTATCGGATTAAATTCTCAAAGTTAATTTAATTTAATGATAATTAATATATTAGAATATTTTTCTCGTACCTTCCATGCTGGTCAAACAACCCCATGATCGGGATTAGTTGACTTACACTATGGGGTAGGTTGACAGTAGGGATGCAATTAATTGGGAATATATTATTTAGAGCTCAATCCAGCGATACTGAAATAGTACATTGTCTAATAAACAAACTCTAAAATAGTGCTATGACACTTATTCTTTTGTAGCTATATAAAACGTAAAAACAAAAAATCTCTGAAAAAATATATTTATTTATGTAGTCAATTTTTCGATATACTTACTTCTATCATTCTGTAACGACATGCGACCGTGGTGTCGCATGTAGCATAAATACGCGTTTATAATAAAAAAACAAAGTGATCTTCTTTTTAAAGAATTGAAAGGGGAGGGAGGCTTGCGGCTACAAAGAATTTTGGCGCGATCGGACGCGCATCCGTGCAAAGTTATTGACGATTAGTCTACCTACCCCTATAGGCAACCAGTCCCAGTCTCCGCTACATATATGTCTCTACACAACTTAAAAAAATATATTTATGGAATCTATTATTAAAATTTAATGTTATTGGTACCAAATGGAGAAAGCTTTAGAAAATTAAAAAAGTTATTAAAGAATATAAGAATTTAAACAAAAAGTATACACTTCACTAAAATGACTTTCAGTAAAGAATAACATGCTTTGGTAGTACCACTTTAAACACGCTGATATGTGCTGATATTCAGCACAACTTAGCCGAGTGCTTTCTAGCAGTGTATATAACAGAATGAAACAGATGCGTTACCGAAATGTAGCGTTTGCGACTGCGCGACTTTTGTGTAAAAAAGTTTTCTCATGAATACCTTTCTGTGAGAAAATAACTCCGTTAAATTGCTTTTAATGTGAAATTGATTGTTTATTCATGAATTTTCGTCTAAGAAAATTTCTTAAATTATATAATTACGTAATTGCCTAATTTTCCTCCTTATTGTAAGTAATCACTATGCATTATTCACAACTTTCTATTTTTCGAATCAAGAAGATTACTGTAAAATTTATACTATGAAAAAAAAGTCGTGCTTGAAACGGACGATAAATCGAGAAGGAAGGGATAAGTGTATATTCGTACTATTTTTCTGTCAAATTTGTGTCGACAGTCACGGAGAGATGATCTGTCTCGAGACTCAAAATTTTAACATCAACCGAATTCTGTTGCTTATCATTGGCTTGTGGCCTTATCAGCGATCGCTCCTAGTTAAACTTCAATTAATTTTACTTTATGGTATTCTGATGACTTTTATCGTATTTCAGGTACGTCGTCATTTCCATTATATTTTATTACGGAATCGCGCGTATTATATTGACGTATATGAATAAATGCATTATTTTAATTTTGTCGTATGTAAGATTTAAATATAATTACATAACATAATAATTGTTTTCTGTATAATTATTGCTCTTATAATTACATATAATTATTAATTATATACCTTTTTTACTAAAGTATTGTATGTAATAGATTAACGAAAAATTGAGAATTTATAAGCAAATAACAAAGCTTTTTTAATACGGTAAATAATATTAATATTTACAGTTAACAACATTTATAACAGCAGAATGTACTCTGGACCTTATTTATAAAGTTCTATCTTCGGCATTCTTTTATGTTTGTTTCGCGATCAAATACAATTCATTTTGGATTAACGCCGATATTGTAAGCTTGTAAATCATTAAGCACTATTGATATATACGTATATGTATCTTTGAATGCAATACATATGGGCTTCGTATTTGTTACTCTCGATCGACTCTCGATACTTCATCTTTCCTTAACATATTTTTCACTTTTTATTCTATAATCATTATAATGTAAGTGCGGACTAAAGAACAAAGTGTAAATAAATTAGTTTGGATCCGATCAAGAAAGAATACAGAGAAGCCATATTATAATTATTTTTGGATGTTGCAAAGAGAAATGACACACAATATTGTCAACATGATAGGTAAGGATTTCGCTAAAACAACTTCAAGATGTCTGTAATGAGATAACAGACAAGAATGAAATTGCTATCATAGAAAAATACGGAAAGAAAGCAAAACGTATTACGATTATAATTTTATGTAAGATAATATTTCTCAATCTTCTTTTTATATTTCAATATCTTTTTACATTTAAATAAATAAATTGCAATTATAAAAAGCTGAAAAAATTTTAAAAACCATAATATATCTGTTGACTTATATGATTATTTTGAAACCTTTCTTAGTTCTTGGCATGTTCTATCAATTTACTTTTATTTTGATATATATTTGGCCGTACATTCATCACATTATGGTTTTCACAAACAAATCTCGATCACATTCTTCGGGGCCTATTATGACAGAATATTTTATTGATCAAGAGAAATATCCCTATTTAATTACTCTGCATAGACACGCAGCATGTTGTATAGGCTTATTAGCAATGTTAACGACAGGAACTATGCTTTTAACATATCTTCAACATACTTGCGCAATGTTTAGTATCGCCTGGTAAGTAAATAGATTAGAAGTATGTATAATAATATAAATAATATGCTTAAACAAACCATATAATTACTGTAACAATATTATTTACCGTAGTTACCGTATTAAACATGCAATTGATATTTTACAAAAAGGTGGTCACAAAAATGAACAAACGAGTTGTAGCTTCAACATACTTGTGCAATGTTTAGTATCGCCTGGTAAGTATACAAAGTAGAGAAGTGCGTATAACAATTTAAATAATATGCTCAAATAAAGCATATAATTACAGCGACAAAATTATTTACAGTTACCGTATCAAGCAGGCAATTGGTATTTTACAAAAGGATGGTTTCAGAAATGAGCAAAAGAGTTGTGAAGAAATAATTCGTGCTGTAAACATTCATTGCAAAGCTATGAAGTTCGTATTATTGTTATATTAATAACAAGTATTTATTTGCATATAATAATATATATTTTCTCTCATATTTAAAGGCTTAGTAATTTTTTAATATCCAATTTTTCGGGATCGTACTTTTGCTTGATAGCGGCTGGTGTGCTTTGCTTGAGTTGTAATCTTCTTCGGGTAAAATTCATCTACAACTTCCTGGAAAAGCAATGCGGCACTTTACAAAATTGAAATTAGTCAACAACAAACCTGCATAGATAAAAAAAAATAACAAAACAGTTTTCTAACGATTAAACAATCTATAAAATTTATTGCATGCTTATCTTTTCTTAGAAGCACAACCTATATCTAAACTACTATGATATCCGCAAACTTCTTAGAAAATTATGCAAAATCTTGCAATTATGTAAGCTGCACAGTGAATAGCGATATATTACTCGACATAGATCTTAATCTACTGACATATTTTACAATATGCATTGAACATGGTGCATAAGAAGCTGATGATATACAGGGTGTTCCGGAACAATCTTCCGTCCGTGAAATGACGTATTCCTGATACAATTCTAAGACGATTTTTCCTTTACCAAAATTTGAATTGAAGCGTAATTTTTGAGTTATAAGCAAAAATAGTTAGCAAATCACGCGTCGAATACAGAAGGCAGGCAGGAGCGGCGCGGCGCGCCGCGAGCGCCCGGCACAGCTGACCGTCTGATTACCACCGCATGAGTCGCTAACTATTTTATCTTACAACATAAAATTAGGCTTTAAATAAAATTTTGGTAAAGAACGGCCGGCGATCCGCAACAACTTTTGTTAAAGTGACGTTATTTTAAGAAACACGTATTCTTGACATAATTCTGAAATATTTTTTTCTTTACCAAAATTTTATTTAAAGCCTAATTTTATGTTGTAAGATAAAATAGTTAGCGACCCATGCGGTGGTAATGAGACGGTCAGCTGTGTCGGGCGCTCGCGGCGCGCCGTGCCGCTCCTGCCTGCCTTCTGTACTCGACGCGTGATTTGCTAACTATTTTTGCTTATAACTCAAAAATTACGCTTCAATTCAAATTTTGGTAAAGGAAAAATCGTCTTAGAATTGTATCAGGAATACGTCATTTCACGGACGGAAGGTTGTTCCGGAACACCCTGTATAACTGTTTATTAATAATAAATGCTATTTACAGTGGATCATTTAAAGAGATTAACAAGAGAAATAGTGACTATAAAATATGACATGAGACAAGCATTGAGCTTATTAGATATTTTAGTTGAAAGAACTAATAAGAGCACAGAATGTGCAAATACGAAATTTTCTTTCGGTGA